TCTTCATTTGTTAATATGGTGCATCACATTGATTGATTTGCATATATTGAAGAATCCTTGCTTGCATCCCTGGGATAAATCCCACTTGATCATGGTGTATGATCCTTTTAATGTGTTGTTGGATTCTGTTTGCTAGTGTTTTGTTGAGGATTTTTGCATCTATATTCATCAGTGATATTGGTCTGTAATTTTCTTTTTCTGTAGTATCTTTGTCTGGTTTTGGTATCAAACTCATAGAATGAGTTTGGGAGTGTTCCTTCCTCTGCAATTTTCTGGAAGATTTTGAGAAGGATGGGTGTTAGCTCTTCTCTAAATGTTTGATAGAATTCACCTGTGAAACCATCTGGTCCTGGACTTCTGTTTGTTGGAAGATTTTTAATCACACTTTAAATTTCATTACTTGTGATTGGTCTGTTCATATTTTCTATTTCTTCCTGCTTCAGACTTGGAAAGTTATACCTTTCTAAGAATTTGTCCATTTTTTCCAGGTTGTCCATTTTATTGCCATAGAGTTGCTTGTAGTAGTCTCTTAGGATGCTTTGTATTTCTTTGGTGTCCGTTGTAACGTCTCCTTTTTCATTTTTAATTGATTTGAGTCCTCTCCCTCTTTTTCTTGATGAGCCTGGCTAAAGGTTTATCAATTTTGTTTATCTTCTCAAAGAACCAGCTTTTAGTTTTATTGATCTTTGCTATTGTTTTCTTTGTTTCTATTTCATTTATTTCTGTTCTGATCATTATGATTTCGTTCCCTCTACTAACTTTGGGTTTTGTTTGTTTTTCTTTCTCCAGTTCCTTTAGGTGTAAGGTTAGATTGTTTATTTGAGATTTTTCTTGTTTCTTGGGGGTAGGCTTGTATTGCTCTACACTTCCCTCTTAGAATTGCTTTTGCTGCATCCCATAGGTTTTGGGGTTTTTTAAAAAATAATTTTTAAAAATTAAAAAATTTTAATTTTTAAATTAAAAATTGGGTCTTTGGGTTGGGTCTTTGTTGCTACGTGTGGGCTTTCTCTAGTTGCGGCGAGCAGGGGCTACTTTTTGTTGTGGTGTGCAGGCTTCTCATTGCGGTGGCTTGTTGCAGAGCACGGGCTCTAGGCACATGGGCTTCAGTAGTTGTGGCACGTGGGCTCAGTAGTTGTGGCTCGTGGGCTCTAGAGCACAGGGTCAGTAGTTGTGGTGCATGGGCTTAGTTGCTCCAAGGCATGTGGGATCTTCCTGGGCCAGGGCTCTAACCCGTGTCGCCTGCATTGGCAGGCGGATACTTAACCACTGCACCACCGGGGAAGTCCTCCTGTAGGTTTTGGATTGTCGTGTTTTCGTTGTCATTTGTCTCTAGGTATTTTTTGATTTCCTCTTTGATTTCTTCAGTGATCTCTTGGTTATTTAGTAACGTATTGTTTAGCCTCCACGTGTTTGTGTTTTTTATGTTTCTTTCACTGTAATTGATTTCTAATCTCATAGCGTTGTGGTCAGAAAAGATGCTTGATATGATTTCAATTTTCTTAAATTTACCGAGGCTTGATTTGTGACCCAAGATATGATCTATCCTGGAGAATGTTCCATGTGCACTGGAGAAAAAAGTGTAATCTGCTGTTTTTGGGTGGAATGTCCTATAAATATCAATTAAATCTATCTGGTCTGTTGTGTCATTTAAAGCTTGTGTTTCCTTATTCATTTTCTGTCTGGATGATCTGTCCATTGGTGTAAGTGAGGTGTTAAAAGTCCCCATTGTGTTACTGTTGATTTCCTCTTTTATAGCTGTTAGAAGTTGCCTTATGTATTGAGGTGCTCCTATTTTGGGTGCATATATATTTATAATTGTTGTATCTTCTTCTTGGATTGATCCCTTGATCATTACGTAGCATCCTTCCTTGCCTCTTGTAACATTCTTTATTTTAAAGTCTATTTTATCTGATATGAGTATTGCTACTCCAGCTTTCTTTTGATTTCTACGTGCATGGAATATCTTTTTCCATCCCCTCACTTTCAGTTTGTATGTGTTCCTAGGTCTGAAGTGGGTCTCTTGTAGACAGCATATATATGGGTCTTGTTTTTGTATCCATTCAGCGAGCCTGTGTCTTTTGGTTGGAGCATTTAATCCATTCACGTTCAAGGCAATTATCGATATGTATGTTCCTATTACCATTTTCTTAATTGTTATGGGTTTGTTTTTGTAGGTCGTTTTCTTTTGTGTTTCCCACTTAGAGAAGTTTCTTTAGCATTTGTTGTAGAGCTGGTTTGGTGGTGCTGAATTCTCTTAGCTTTTGCTTGTATGTAAAGCTTTTGATTTCTCGGTTGAATCTGAATGAGCTCCTTGCCAGGTAAAGTAATCTTGGTTGTAGGTTCTTCCCTTTCATCACTTGAGATATATTGTGCCAGTCCCTTCTGGCTTGTAGAGTTTCTGCTGAGAAATGAGCTGTTAACCATATGGGAGTTTCTTTGTATGTTGTCATTTTTCCCTTGTTGTTTTCAGTAATGTTCCTTTGTCTATAATTTTTGTCAATTTTTTTTTTTTTGTGGTACGCGGGCCTCTCACTCTTGTGGCCTCTCCCACTGCAGAGCACAGGCTCCAGATGCACAGGCTCAACAGCCATGGTTCACGGGCCCAGCCACTCCACGGCATGTGAGATTCTCCCGGACCGGGGCACGAATCCGTGTCTCCTGCATCAGCAGGCGGACTCCCAACCACTGCGCCACCAGGGAAGCCCTCATTTTTGTCAGTTTGATTACTGTGTGTCTTGGCGTGTTTCTCCTTGGGTTTATCCTGCCTGGGACTCTCTGCGCTTCCTGGACTTGGGTGGCTCTTTCCTTTCCCATGATAGGGAAGTTTTTGACTATAATCTCTTCAAATATTTTCTTGGGTCCTTTCTCTCTCTCTTCTCCTTCTGGGACCCCTATAATGTGAATGTTGTTGCGTTTAATGTTGTCCCGGAGGTCTCTTAGGCTGTCATCATTTCTTTTCATTCTTTTTTCTTTATTCTGTTCTGTGGCGGTGAATTCCACCATTCTGTCTTCCAGATCACTTATCTGTTCTTCTGACTCAGTTACTCTGCTGTTGATTCCTTCTAGTGTATTTTTCATTTCAGTTATTGTATCGTTCATCTCTGTTTGTTCTTTAATTCTTCTAGGTGTTTTTTCTTTAATTCTTGTAAGTCTTTGTTAAATATTTCTTGCATCTTCTTGATCTTTGCCTCCATTCTTTTTCCAAGGTCCTGGATCATCTTCACTGTCATTTTTCTGAATTCTTTTTCTGGAAGGTTGCCTATCTCCACTTCATTTAGTTGTTTTTCTGAGGTTTTATTTTGTTCTTTCATCTGGTACATAGTCCTCTGCCTTTTCATCTTGTCCGTCTTTCTGTGAATGTGGTTTTTGTTCCACAGGCTGCAGAATTGTAGTTCTTCTTCTGCTGTCTGCCCTCTGGTGGCTGAGGCCGTCTAAGAGGCTTGTACAGGCTTCCTGATGGGAGGGACTGGTGGTGGGTAGAGCTGGGTGTTGCTCTGGTGGGCAGAGCTCAGTAAAACTTTAATCTGCTTATCTGCTGATGGGTGGGGCTGGGTTCCCTCCCTGTTGGTTGTTTGGCCTGAGGCGACCCAGCACTGGAGCCTACCTGGCTCTTTGGTGGGGCTAATGGTGGACTCTGGAAGGGCTCATGCCAAGGAGTGCTTCCCAGAACTTGTGCCACCAGTGTCCTTGTCCCCACAGTGAGCCACAGCCACCCCACCCTGCCTCTGCAGGAGACCCTCCAACACTAGCAGGTAGGTCTGGTTCAGTCTCCTATGGGGTCACTGCTCCTTCCCCTGGGTCCCAGTGGGCACACTACTTTGTGTGTGCCCTCCAAGAGTGGAGTCTCTGTTTCCCCCTGTCCTGCCGAAGTCCTGCAATCAAATCCCGCTAGCCTTCAAAGTCTGATTCTTTAGGAATTCTTCCTCCTGTTGCCAGACCCCCAGGTTGGGAAGCCTGACATGGGGCTCAGAACCTTCACTCCATTGGGTGGACTTTGTGGTATAAGTCTTCTCCAGTTTGTGAGTCACCCACCCAGCAATTATGGGATTTGATTTTATCGTGATTGCGCCCCCTCCTACCATCTCATTGCAGCTTCTCCTTTGTCTTTGGTTGTGGGGTATCTTTTTTGGTGAGTTCCAGTGTCTTCCTGTTGATGATTGTTCAGCAGTTAGTTGTGATTCTGGTGCTCTTGCAAGAGGGAGTGAGCGCACACCCTCTACTCCTCCGTCTTGAACCAATCTCTGAAAGTAATTTCATTTAACCCTTCTTACTTGAGTTTGGATGGTGGAGGCTGTGATGGTAGTATAAAACCCCAAATTAGAGACAGTCAAAAACTGTAAGTTTCAAACTTAGTGGTAATAGGTTTGTAGCTATTATATTTGCAACCATTACAGTTTATACTGCGTTGATGAGCAGTGAGTTATGGGCAGCAATTCATACACACATGTGCAAATTCATGTGTATATATACTTTCTAACCAAGAGAAAATTCTTCTTTATATGAGTTTTTGTTATTGGTATGGAGTAGTATTTGTGGATTTTTTAGGTTTCCAGGGATTTCTGGAACATGGCCTCAGGGAATGTGAAAGGTTTCCTGAGCTTTTCACTTGACTCCAGTGCATTATTAGAACACTCCAAAATCTGTACTTTGAAAACATTGATAGTTCTATGTCTCTGTGTATAATTTCCCATCAGTACTGTATAGTTGTGAGCCTTCTTTATAACACAGCTGTATATTGCCTTATGATGTTTATTACTAACTGCTTTCATTATTTTTCATGTGTCACAGGTAAAGTTTTTACGAGTAGGCTCAGATTGAGTTTAGCCAGTGATTGATAAGCTGGCCAGCAGAATGTTCTGGATATGGTCGAGGCACATTGTAAGTTGAAGACATGATCATTAGTAGGAAATGTACCCATTCTCCACCAGAATAGGCCTGAAGTGTTGTGGGGTTTTTTTCTTTAGTCTTTCCATGTCTTCTTTTCTGGATACAGGTACAGAATGAGCACGTGTTGTTGGTGTACACCAGGTGGTATTTCCACCATTGACTTCCTGCAACACTATGCATCTGAGACCCACTCCAGTGAATTTCGAACAGCTGATGAAGACCTCTGCTACTGCTTAGAGTGTGTGGCTGAATACCACAAAGCAAGGGATGAATTGCCATGCTTACATAAGGTACTTTACATTAATTGGGCAGTATTTTTCAGAGCTTGATAACTAGGAAGAGAATAAATTTGAACTCTGTTGGAAGCATTCAGGGAACTGACAATGTGATTTAAACTGTGAATGCTAATATACTTCTAGTATCTAACTCATTGCCTGGTAGATAGTAGGTGCTGAGTAAATGCTTATTTTTATTTTTTTAATTTTTTGCGGTACGCGGGCCTCTCACTGTTGTGGCCTCTCCCGCCGCGGAGCACAGGCTCCGGACGCGCAGGCTCAGCGGCCATGGCTCATGGGCCCAGCCGCTCCACAGCATGTGGGATCCTCCCAGACCGGGGCACGAACCCGTGTCCCCTGCATCGGCAGGCAGACTCTCAACCACTGCGCCACCAGGGAAGCCCTAAATGCTTATTGATTGATGGAATTGAATTGAAATCTAATTTTCAGAATTTTATAGCAGAATAGCAGAATTTTATAATCCTCCACTTTTAGTCATTTTGATGTGAAACAGTTTCATGAAATGAAGTGACGTATGGAGTTTTTTGGGGTTCATGTTTTAATGTCATTGTGTTTGACATTGTTAACAGCCAGGTATCTGAATGGCTTGGGTTATTTTTTATTGGCTAATAGTTCTTTTTTTTCCCCTCTCCTCATTTTTTAATGGGTAAGTGCTATAAATCAATAAAGACAAGCATTTTTTCATTCACAGTAACCAAAGTGAAACATATAATTTTAAATATGTGGCTTTGAATATTGGTTTATTATATTTATCTGATGAAAAATGGAATATAGACCATAGAGATATGTATAATAATATAGAAAAGAGGAGGGGGATGATTAGTTATGAACCTTTTGAGGAAAACTTTTACGTTTACAAAGTTTCCTAGCTATGAAGCTAACCACTGTCTTTATGCTGAAGCTGATGTGTCAAGGTAGTTACCTATGGCTGGAACATAGAAGGGAAGTCAGAGAAGGCCCAGCTTGTGCCTTGGTAAAGAAGCTCCAACTTCTCATTCCTTTTCAATAGAGTATAGTTGACAGAGCTGTTGATAGCAAAACTCTGCAAGAGCAATGTTTTAAACATCTCATGCTCTATGTACTCACGTTCATGTATCATAAAAGCCACTTTTATGTTTAGTGACTGTTTTCTTTAAATCTAATATATGATATTTAGTACTTCTTTAAACTTCTGAATTTTTATACTTAGGAAAAGGCTTTCTAGAAGGATCATCACATCCAGTATATTTTGTTGATAATAAGATATAAAGCACACTGCCCGTTTTTCTTTTCCTGTAGGTTTTATGGGAATTAGAAACCTCACGTCTCATAAATCACTTTGAAAAGGCCATGAAGGCAGAAATTGGAGACGATGACGAGTTATATATAGTAGACAACAATGGAGAGGCACAGCCGTTTGACTTTACTGGCCAAGACTTTGAAAATAAGCTTCGAGTTCCTCTTCTTGAAATACTGAAATATCCTTATTTGCTTTTACATGAGCGTGTTAGTGAGTATCTTGGGTGTTTCACAGTTGCATCCTTTTTTTTAATTTTAAGAATTGTAAGAAAAAAAAGAATTGTAAGAATTTGGGTTTATATTGAAAATCTGTTTCTTAAACATATGATTAGGATACTTATTATTTTTTTTTCCAAACGTTTTATTTTGAGCATTTCCAAACCTAGAAAAGTGAATTACACAGTGAATACCATGTACACACCACATAGATTCTACAGTTGCTAACATCTTGCTGTATTTGCTTTATCACATATTTATTCATCTATCCATTCAATTAATTTTCATTCTTGGAATTTGTCTGTAGCAGGGTTTTTCAAACTTGGCACTGTTGACATTTTGGACTGGATAATTCTTGGTCGGTGAGGGACGTGCTGTTTATTGTAGGATGTTTAGCAGCATCCCTGGCCTGTCTCCACTAGATGCTGGTAGTGACTTGCTCTCCCTAGTTGTGACAACCAAAAATGTCTCCAGATATTGCCAAATGTCCCTTGGGAGTTGGGGGTCAGGGCCAGTGAGGGACAAAATCGCCAGGTTGAGAACCACTGGTCTGTAGTAATTTTCAGTAATCACTATGGCATAGCATATTATGGCTGCCTAGATTTTGGTCATTTATATTTGCATTTCTTAATATGAATCTCTTGAAGACGTTTTCCTGATCTATCAAATCTAATGAAATAACATACCTTTAAGGCACCCACTACTATATCTAGTCCGCATTCAGATTTTCCCAGTAGTTGCAAAATGTGTTTTTTGGACGATTTATTTAAATTAGAGTCCAATCAGGGACTGTGCATTTGGTTCCATATTTCTTACATCTCTTTTAATCCAGAATAGTTTACTCTTAGATATATGTGCACAGATATAGATATAGATAGATAGATTTTTTTTCTCTTTTGTCATAACTTTGACTTGCTGCGACCAAATGGTTGCCCTAAAGAATAATGTGCTTCCTGGACTTTTCTGATTTCTTCCTTGTCATGTTATTTGACTTGTTTCTCTGTCCTCTGTATTTTCAGTAAATTGAAAAATATATCTAAAGATTTATTAGATAAATCAGTGCTTTGTAAATAAATTCGAAATAACTAGATTTTTAAATTCTAACAAGTCATTTTTCAAACATTTATTAAAGAGTACCATATCCAGAAAAGTATATAAGCTTGATTTTTCATAAACTAAACACACTTGTATAGCTGGCACCCAGGTCAAGAAACAAAACATCATCAACACACCAGGAGCTCTCCTCTTGCTTTTCCAGTCATTGTTCCTCCTTCCCAAAGCTAACCACTGTCACTACAATATTCTTTGAAGCTTGACAAAATAAAGTTGATTCATCTGATATGGTAAATGTATGAGTCTATTCAGTATACTTCTGAAAGAGTGATGAAGAAATTTCCATAAAGCAACAGGGATTAGGATAGTGGTGGTACAGATAGACTAATGGAACAGTGTAGAGAGTCCAGAAGTAAACCAAATATATTTGGGGAATTTACTCTTTGGTGATGATAACATTTCAAACCAGTGGAGAAAATGGATTACTCAGTAACTGAGAGTAGGACAAAATAGCCATTTGGGAGGCAAAGCTGATTTTATCACTGTGGTACAAGATAAAGTCCTCATGGATCAGAATGTAAAATGCTAATGGAATTGGACCTATAGCCATACTTCTAAGAAGATGCCCTCTGGAGATAATTATGCCCAGTGTGAAAAAAGATGTTTGTACTAGGAAAGTCAGAGCAATTCATAGGCACACACTATGATCAACCTACCGGTCTTTCAGCAGCTAAATATCATTCCTACATTTACAGCATTTTTATGCCTCAGTTTAAAAAAAAAAAAAAGGAACAACTTTTCATTCACCATTCCTACATTTACAGCATTTTTATGCCTCAGTTTAAAAAAAAAAAAAGGAACAACTTTTCATTCACTTACAGAGCAACCAAAGGATCCAAATTTAGGGAATCTTGATAAGTTGATAAGATTTATGTCTTATGTTTACTGCCTTATTTTTTCTGTTTAGATGAATTATGCGTTGAAGCACTTTGCCGGATGGAACAAGCTAACTGCTCCTTTCAGGTTTTTGACAAACATCCAGGGATCTATTTGTTTTTGGTCCATCCCAATGAAATGGTGAGTGTGAGTGTTAGGCAGTGGACGAAGGAAGGTTTTATTTTTGCGCCTGTAGTGTAGATATTAACTATAATAGAGGTTTTCTGTTGTACTTCGTTTAAAATATTTGCCAAAATGATTCCCTTGTTGTAACGTTACTGCAGTTAAGGAGGGGGTGCTGGGGGGGCTCAAAGAAGAGAGTTAAGAGAGTAGGGAAACACTTCTGACAGGTGATGCTTCAGTTTAAAAGACAAATGAGGGGATAATCTGAACTCCAGCGTGTTGACCTGAACTAATGAAGAAGGACTGTTCTCTCTTGCGTTTCTTGCTTTGCCTGCCCCACTCCAAGCACGTGGAAATACCAGTTAAAACACTTGAAATAATTATTTTGCTAATAGCTGAGATTTTTAACAGGGGATGGGGTAGAGGGGAGGGCAAGGAAATTCAGTTCCTAGGTGCCAGACAGGAAGAGGAACTGAGAATCAGAACAGCAGGTAGGCAGAAGCAGAGAGCGACACCAGAGGCTCGGAAACTGACTTTGAGCTGATTGCTGGAGTTTGAGGACTTCTCATCATGTGGCGAGGCAGCGTGTGCAGTAGGACCTGTGCACGTTGGCCTCTAGAACTGAGTTACACAACGTTAAGACAATAGCCATGAGGGTTGCTCTGCCAATAGAAGGATAGTAAAGAGGCTTTTTTTTAAGTGGCAAAGAAAGAACGTGGTAATGGGGTTTCCAGTCAGAATGGTGGTGAATTTCAGTCTCCTCTGTGCCAAACCCAAACAATGATAGAAAAAAATTCAAAAAGTGGAATTCTAAAAGGTATAATAATCACACTTTTCAAAAGTAAGTGTTTCTTTGGACCAGTAATGGAACAGAAATACAAAGTGATAAATGGTGGAAACCTGTATGTACGCTTGGGTGGCTGTAGGTAGCAGGGGACTGAGTTTGTGCATGATAATAAGAAATACAAATATACTCCAGGCAAGGGTAGAACCAGAGTCAAGGCCTGTGCTTAAAATAAGGGTGGGGCTTTCCTGCCTGTGAAAGAAGATTGACAGAAAGTACAGCCAACTGCTCTCTGGGACTGGCTTTCTTAAAGCTGCGAACCAGTAGAGGAAGCTGGTCCAGCTGAGCAACCAGGACGTGGGCCAAGCACTTGCAGGCTTGGTGACTGGGTCTGCAGAGCCAGGAATGACTGTATTCTTCATTATGTATGTGTTTTTAGAGGTGAGGAAACTGAGTCAGGAGACTTAACCACAGTTACACAGGCTAGTATGGTGACGGATTTGTATATAGGCAGCCTGACTCCAGAGCCCTAATGCTGTTTTTTTTAAGTTTTTATTTGAAAATACTTTAAAATTTTCAGAAAATTCTCAAAAATAAAAAAGTAGAAAACACCTGTATACTCTTTAGCTGTATTCACCAATTATTAATGTTTCACTCCATTTGTTCTATCATTTGCTTTCAGTTAATTACAAAGCTGTTTGTTTTCTGAACCATTTGAGAGTAGGTTGCATATATCATAGCCATTTGCCCCTAAATACTTCAGTGTGTATTTCCTAAGAATAAGTATATTCTCACAATATTATAAACTTCAGTGAATTTAACATTGATACAGTAAGGCCTGTTTTCCAGTTGTGTCATGTGGTCCAGTGTACTTTGTAGCATTTTCCCCCTGTACTTCAGTATCCAGACCAGGATCAGGATTTACATGTAGCTGTGTTACATTAGTCTCCCTTAATCTGTAACATTTCCTCAGCCTTTCTTTGTCTTTTATGACAATTACATTTCTGAAGAATAGTCATTTCTGCCTCCCTCCCATTTACAAAACATAGAATGCTTTTCGTTTTGGGTTTGTCTGATGCTTGCGCATGGTTAGGCTTTGGTTATACGTTCCAGCTGGAGTACTACATAAGTGATGGATGTTATGTCCTTCTCAGGGTGTCAGATACACAGGCATGCCGTGTCATTCGGCCTCTCATGTTGATGTTAATTTTGATCATCTAGTTGAGGTGTTGTCCAGTTTCTTCACTGTACAATGTCTATTTCTTAAGTACTCTAAGATCACATAAATACCTTACTCCTCACCGAAATTTTCTCCTAAATTTAGCATTACCTGATGGTTCTTCCCTGAGCCAGTTTTTCTAAGGTTGCAAAATAATTTCAACCCCAGCACTTTACATATTTACCAGTCAGCACTTGACATTGATTGTACTATAATCAAGAGCCATTTTCCCTGCTCTTCATTTATTCATCTGTTTGTTATAAGTTATAGACTCATTGATTCCTTTGTATTTTTTTGATAGCTTAAAATTCATTACTTAATTATGTTGGCATAGAGCCCATTCTTTTGTCCACTGGTTCTATGTTTTGTAAACTTTTCTGCCCATAACCTAAGTAAAAATGTTCTTCATCGAGTTCACACACATATATATACGTATGTGACCTAAACATTTCACAAGACGGTACTTACTGTTAAAATGAAGGTTGCCCACTGATTTTTTAAAATTTTATTTAGTTTTTAAGGTTGGTTGTGATCACTAAATTCAATTTGTAGTGCAGAATAAATTTAAAATCACTTCCTTATGCTATATTGCCATATAGAGGTGACCTTTGATTTCTTCTGAGGTTTCTCTTTTCATTTTTCTTCCCTTTTTTTAACTTTCTATTATGGAACATTACAAACATACAAAAAATAGATTGGTGTAGTGAACCCCCATATATCCATCACTGTGCTTCATCTGTTATCAATATGTGGTCAATATTCTACTCCTGTTAAGTTACCGCAAATCTTAGACATCAGAGCATTTCATCCATAAAATACTTTAGTACATGTATCAAAAAGGTAAGTGCTTTTAAAAGAAAACAATTACATCAACACACTTATAATAATAGTAATAATAAGATCATATTTCTAGTCAGTGTTTAAGTGAGTGGAAATTATTATCTCACAAACGCTTTATTAGGGTTAGTTCAAATCAGGATCAAGCAAGGTTCACACATCGCATTCCAGTTGACCCTTGAGCAGCGTGGGTTTGAACTGCATGGGTCCTCTTATACACAGATTCTTTTTAATAGCATGTAGTATAGTACTACACAGTTCGGGGTTAGTTGAATCCATGATGCAGAACCGGGGTATGGAGGGCTGCCAACTATGTTGTACTTGAATTATATTAGTATATTCAACTACGCAGAGGGTAGGTGCCCCTAACCCATATGTGTTGTTCAAAGGTCAACTGTAATTAGTATCTTCTGTCTTTTTTTTTTTTTCTGTCATCATGGACCTTTTGGTTTATTTCCTTTAAATGTCTGAAAATCATGTATTTTTCCTAAAGTACTTTATTCTGTATGATTGTCTTTTTCTTCCAGTTTTATTGAGGTATAATTGACATACAGCACTGTATAAGTTTAAGTTATACAGTGTAATGATTTTTTTAAAGTAGAGTTGATGTATCTCGTGTCTTTTATAATCTGTAGAGAATCCTATTTTAACTATATGCTTGCTGTATGTAGACAATTGTGTGTAAAATGAAGTAATGAATGTGTTATGCTTTTAGGTTCGGCGTTGGGCTATCCTGACCGCAAGAAACTTGGGAAAAGTGGACAGAGATGATTATTATGACTTAGAGGAGGTTTTGACTTGCCTTTTTAAAGTCATTGAGTTGGGGCTTTTAGAAAGTCCAGACATTTATACTTCTTCTGTCCTTGAGAAGGGTAAACTGATTCTTCTGCCTTCACACATGTATGATGCTGCCAACTACAAAAACTATTGGCTAGGTGAGTATTGTTCCTACACAAATATAATTGGTATTTTCCAATATTTCTTATGATTATCCTGCAAGGGAAGGGATCTCTTTTGGTAATCTGATCAAAATTGCTAAATAAAGGATTTCATAGTTCCCAATTCTTGTTCTGTCATTAAATTGACTATTACAACATCTTGTCTTTAAACATTTTTTATCCTAGAAATCATCTGTGTAAGAGGTACATTTTCAAGTATGGCAAATAGATCTTCTATTTAAGGCAGTATTAGATGTTACAGTATTAGCATAGCAGCTGACCTTAATAGGGTTTTGATCTATTGAAACAGGTTTAATACCTCTTTTCCCATCTGTAAAATATTTCCTGGAAGAAAGAGATACTAACTTTGGTTTTCATCAGGTTGTATATTGACTTAAAATATTTCTGTCCTACTTCATTGATTCAGAGTCTTACAGTCATGTGTATATTTGGCAGTGATTGGTACTTGAAATATAGTGATCTTAAAATTTAAGGGGTTTTTGATTTTATGAGATACAAATTGTGTGGTAGTCATTTTGGAAATGGTTTTCTAACCAAGTTTGTGCCATTTTCCCTTTTTATTCAGTCTAAAGTTGTGTTCTTAGGAGGAGTTGTATATGAACGTCTCAGACTTCAGTGTCTGAGGCACTGGATACTGTTTTGTTTCGTCTTACTGCCTTGTTATTCTTTTGCCAACTAAACTGGAGAAGGCATTAGAAGAGTTTTACTTAATCAATTCAAGAAAACTATACATGATCTTACAGGTATTTGCATGTTGCTGACCATTCTTGAGGAGCAAGCCATGGATTCACTGTTGTTGGGCTCAAACAAACAGAATGATTTTATGCAGTCAATACTTCACACCATGGAGAAGCAATCAGATGGTAATAAACTATTTGCTGAATATTGCGATGATGGTGCACTTTGAAAATACTAGTGTCACTGTAAGAATTTGGGTGTATGATGTGGAGGACATAGTGAACATTTTATGGTTTTGGTCACAGAGTCAGAATTTTAAATTGGAAAGGACCTTTAGAGTTTAGCTCAGCACCTTACTTTCATAAAAGAAGAAACTGAGCCCAAGGAAGTTAACTTACTTTTTTAAAAATTAGTTTATTTATTTTTGGCTGCGTTGGGTCTTTGTTGCTGTGCATGGGCTTTCTCTAGTTGCGGCGAGCGGGGGCTACTCTTCGTTGCAGTGTGCAGGCTTCTCATTGCGGTGGCTTCTCTTGTGGCGGAGCACGGGCTCTAGGCACGCAGGCTTCAGTAGTTGTGGCACACGGGCTCAGTAGTTGTGGTGCATGGGCTTAGTTGCTCCACGGTATGTGGGATCCTCCTGGACCAGGGCTTGAACCCCTGTCCCCTGCATTGGCAGGCAGATTCTTAACCACTGTGCCACCAGGGAAGTCCCTTAACTTACTTTTTCACGTTGAAATACCCAGCTAGTGGTAGAATCAAGACTAGAACCTAAAGGAGGTAAATTTCTAATGACATGATAGTTAAAATTTTGCAGAAAGCTTCCCCTATCCCACTGTCTCCCTTTTGCCTGGTTTCTCATTTCACTTTGGTTCTCTAGGGTTCCACCGTCCACGATGGTGGCTGCCTGCCGGCCAAGTGTGGCTCTTTACATTTACATTAATGAAACTTAAATAAAATTAAAAATTCAGTTTTTCAGTCCCACTAGCTATACTTCAAGAGCTGCCTGGTGGCTACGGTATAAAACCATTTCCATCATCCCAGAAAGTTCCCTTGGACAGCGCTCCCCAGATAGTCTAGAAAGTAGGGTCTCAAATTGTCACGTTTGTTATTAGAGCCAGCTTAGTTTTGCTCATGGTTTTATTGGGCTGATCAGGGAGAATCTGTACTAGTGTTTCTAATCTTACCTTCTTTATGAAAGGATGACTCAGTAAAGACCAAGCATGCCAAATTTAATGAAAACATAAATATAACTTTTTACCCACATTCACTTCTCCTTAGGCAACTTCAGCATGGATATATATTCTTTTGTGGGGGATTCTAAAAGAAATACGTAAACGTTATTTATTTATTTTTTTGTGGTGCGCCGGCCTCTCACTGTTGTGGCCTCTCCCGTTGCGGATCACAGGCTCCGGACGCGCAGGTTCAGCGACCATGGCTCACGGGCCCATCCACTCCGCAGCATGTGGGATCTTCCCAGACCGGGGCATGAACCCGTGTCCCCTGCATCGGCAGGTGGACTCTCAACCACTGCGCCACCAGGGAAGCCTGCTAGATGATTTTTTTTT